AACATGGGCCAGTGAAGCGACGTCCTCCACAACTAGACTGAAGAACAAAAGGACAGCAACTTGTCTGTTCCCCTTCCCCAATTCCCCAGCGCTGCTTCCCTCTCCTGATTCCCCAATAAAATCTTAAAAAAAAAAAAGGAATCATTTTTGCTATATTCCCCTTGGTCGGTGTTCATGTCACCCACTCTAGTGATGTGCTCGTTTGAAAATATATTGAGACAATAATGTCCATGGTGTGCTAGAATCAATTTTCAGGCAAGTTTTGTTGGTTTCCTTCTAGAGGATTTATAAACGAGAGTAGCAGAAAAAATTTTATGCAAAATGTGTGCAAAATGGACTACTCAAGTTGTACAATGTGAATGTACTTAGTGTCACTGAATTGTACATTTAAGAGGGTTAAAATGTTATAAATTTTATGTTATGTTTATTTTATCACATTTTTTAAAATTGCAAAAAAAAAGGGACTATCCAAACTTATATTAAAGCTCAAAGTATAGATGATTAGCTTCTAGGAGAATGCTTTATTTATCACTGTAGATCCGTTTTCAAGGATCCAGGGCTTCTACTAATGTCCCCTTATTCTAGTGACCTATCAGAGCTTCCTTCCATTACAGTATTCTGTTCACTCTCTTCTGTTTATCTGACTGCTCTTCCTCAAGCCTCTCTGTCTCCTCACCCTCTGCGTGCCCTTTGCCAGCTCTCATCTCTTTCTGTACATTGTGAAATCACCTCACTTCAATCTTTACCACTAAGAAAATCACTCCTAAAATTCTCTCTCCAGCCCTGATACCTTCCAGTGCCCTAACTGCCAGCTAGATATCTTCAAGTAATCTCTGTTAGTAATATCGGGTTGTCAGAAAAGTCATGACGCATTTTTGCAATGAAAAACATAGAAAAAAATACATCATGACTTTTCCGACAACCCAATATATTGTTGTGTAACATATTGCCCAAACTTAGTGGCTTAAACAATAAACATTTATGAATATTATCTTGCAGTTTCTGTGCATCAGGAATTCAGGGCAAGGATCATTGAGGACCGTTTTGGAAGGGACCACAGTTGTACTCGAAACAAAGCAGAAATTTCTCATCTTTCTAAGCAGACCCACTTCACCTGCTGTGTGCTGCACACTGTTAATGATGTTAGTGTCCTTATGATATCCAGGCTCAAAACCTTGAGGTCCTCTATGAATTTTTTCTCTCTCTGCATCCAATTTTTTGCTAAAAACTGTTGACTGTCTTCCTTGATTTTGCTTCATTACTTTTGTTGATGCCCTGGGTCACTTGGATCACTTCTGTAGCTTTCTCAAGGCTCCTATTTTCATACAGCACAATTTTGATAATGTTCCAGTTATGCCTCCAAACCTTCACTGGGACAGAATTCATAAAGGAAACAATGGCTAAGTTTGACTACAGAAAGATATAAAACTTATGTGTGACAGAGAGAGAGAGAGAGAGAGAGAGAGAGAGAGAGAGAGAGAACAACAAAAAACCCCACCATGAATAAATGATGAAAGAACACTGACAAAATGTCAAAAATATTTGCAAGTATTGACTAAAGGGTGCTAGCTTTTTATAAAAACAAAACAAACCGAAAACCAAAACCCATAACTGAAGAAGTCATATAAAAGTTTCAAACTCATTAGTATACTAATTAAACAAATATCACTTTTTGCTTCTACAATTGGGGAGGATTAAAAAGAATATAAAAGTGGGAGAAAGCAGGCAGTCTCTTACTATACTGATGGGAAGGTAAATTGGTACCACCCTGAGTGGAATTTATCAAGATGTATCAAAGCCTTGGAAATGATCCATGCCCTGTCTGCATTATTGACAAGGAGTAAGGTCCACAATATGTTGTAAAGATGAAAATATTCAGGCCACAAAAAGCTATGTGTATATATACACGAGGTCTAGCAATTAAGTTCTTGAACTTGTTGCAACTATGTTGCTAACCTTTTTTAGTATCAGAGGGATTATTTTCATTGTGAATTTGTACCAACTGGACAAACAGTTAACCAAGTTTACTATTTGGAATTGCTGAAAAGGCTGCGTGAAAAAGTTAGACAACCTGAACTTTTCACCAACAATTCATGGCTCTTGCATCACGACAACACACCAGCTCACACAGCACTATCTGTGAGGGAGTTTTTAGCCAGTAAACAAGGTGTGTATTGGAACACCCTCCCTACTCACCTGATCTGGCCCCCAATGACTTCTTTCTTTACCCAAAGATAAAGGAAATATTGAAAGAAAGACATTTTGATGACATTCAGGACATCAAGGGTAATATGATGACAGCTCTGATGGCCATTCCAGAAAAAGTTCCAATATTGCTTTGAAGGGTGGACAATGAGCTGGCATCGGTGCATAGCTTCCCAAGGGGAATACTTTGAAGGTGACTGTAGCGATATTCAGTAAGGAGGCATGTAGCACTTTTTCTAGGATGAGTTCGTGAAGTTAATTGTCAGAGTGTGTGGTATGTGTAGAATGATGCAATCTTTATAAAAATATATACATTATCTATATATCTATATATATATGTATGTGTATGCCCACAGATATATTTCATATACATATAAAGAAAAAAAGACATACTTGTTATTATCTAGGTGGAATGTGGGATTATTAGTAATTTTTGCCTTGTACTTTTTATGTTATTTTACTCTTCAGATTAGTTTTGACACCCTCTCTGTTTTATTCCCAAATACCTTTTCCATCCTTCCCTTCATGTACCCTTCTGTTTTTTCATATACAAATCCTTTTCACTCTAGCTTCTGTGCTCCCTCATGGGGCTGTTACTTCTAAGAACGTCTTTGCCTGCCCATCTTCAACCATTAAGATCCCACTTGTTCAAGACTGAGCTCCAGGATATTTTCCAGAGCCTTCCCACTTTAAATACTAATCTCACTTTCTCTGTAAACTCATAGCTTTTTATGCATATTAGTACTGCTGTTAATGGTACTGCTTGCTTTCTGCTTTGAAGTACTTTAGCTGTTTGTTTTGTTCCTTCTCCCCCTTCTTAAATTATGTGTTCTATGCAGGCAGAATCCATGTCTCATTCATCTTGATATTCCACACACCACCTAATAATACTTTGCATCAGCAGGTGTTCGATAAATTCTTACTGGATAAATGATTCAATGAATAGATACTTTCAGGACCTCTAGCTCTATTGTTAAGCTGGTGCACACTTAGGAAGTATAAAACCATTTTAATTCTAAGTAGAGAAGAAACTATTTGGGAGGTGAATCTGTTACCAAACCCAGGGGGTTTGCTGCTTGGGGTGTTAATGAGGCGTGGTTGTCGTTAGGTGGTTTTATTTACTGGCAGCAAGTAAAGGAAAACAGATTTCACATCCAAAGCTCTGTCTCCCAGACGGGAGGCCTAGCTGTTGCTTATATACACTGTTTGCCTAATTACATGTTGATTTCT